CTACCTTCCCTCCCCCGCTCCCTCCCCTCCTTCCTTCCTTCCTTCCAGTGCTTGTGCTCAAATGTAGGGCTTCCTATACACTAGGTAAGAGCTATGCCCCACCTCCAAACCCCTTTCTTCCTAGACTTTTTTCATTAACCTTTCAGCGGCCCTGGGAATTCCCACATACATTTACTTGCCTTGTTTCATGTCCAGTAACTCTGGCTCTGGCCTCCACTACTGCTCTCCCACGTGTTCATCCTCTTCTGTGTGCAAAGGCATACATACTATGCTGCACAGCCAATCTCCCTTTCATGAACTTCAATGAAGTCGACTTTCTGACTTACCTTTTCTATTTGTTAAAGCAATGGTAGAATGGCCTACTCACCTTTGCCCTATTTTCTAAAAGTCTTCATTCCTTTCCTGGTTTTTAGGGAAGGCAACTAGTTAAGAAATCGCCACTAATTCTCCTGTAATCTCAGCTCTGCAACACACTCTTTTTCATCCTTAAACACCAAAAACAAATAAACAAACAACAACAATGAAAACCAAGATCTTGCTCTGTAGCCCAGGCTGATCTCACGCTCACAGCCCTCCTACCTCAGCCTTCTAAGAGCCAGGTTACAGGTGCACGCCACTCACACTTCTAATGACTATGTTATTCGTCTTTGTCTACTGTTTCTCTTCCTTCGAACTGACCAAACTTTGAGAGAATGAGTCATATTATTTCTGGACGAGTGGTGTTTCTGCATGCCTCAAGCCCAAGTCTATACTAATTTATTAAATGACCAATGCCATCCACATCACAGACAGACTAGAAAGAACACTGAGGGGACAACAATCACTGCAGTAGTGAGGAGTAGATACCGCGATGGCACATAAACTGTATCCCACAGGCAGCCAAAAATTTTAGTGCTCCATGCACAGCTCTCCAGAGCTGATGCCCATGCGTTAGGATTTAGTTCATGGGCAAGTAAGAGTTCCTCCCAAGGACCTCTCTTACACTGGGCCTTCACACCTGTAATCAGGTGTAGGAAAGCTGAAGCAGGAGGATTGAGAGTTAGAGATACATAGGGAAATCCCGCTTCAAAAAATCAGAAGCAACAACAAAAACAAAACAACAAAATAAGAAGGGCTGGAGAGACGGTTCAGCCAGTAAAGGTGTCTTCTGCAAAGCCTGACGACCTTGGTTTGATCCCCAGGACCCACATGGCAGAAAGATGGAGCCAACTCCCACAGGTTGTCCTCTGACCTCCATACACATGCTGCACGCGCGCACACGCACACACACACACACACACACACACACATTAAAGGAAGAAAATGTAGTTTAAAAGAAGACAGCACACAGGAGGTGGAGGCAGGAAGATCAGAAGTTCAAGGTCACTCTCATCTTCATATTGAATTTGATAGTAGTCTGGGCTACAAAATAACTAGTCACAAACAAGCAAAACCAAAAGAGAATGCTGTCTTATTATTCCCCTAACAAAAATGCTAGGCCTAGAAATAGACACCACCAGAAAAGAATCATCTTAGGTCTGCGTAGTGCTCTATATTTTTAAAGCTTTCACGAACAAGCCTGAGACGTAAGAGAGTAGTTCTGTTTATTCAGTTTAAGGTGAGTTATTTAAATGTATTTTTTCCCA